CCTAAAAAAAAAAAAAAACAACATACATTTTCTACTACTGTGAAAAAAAAAATGATGGATAATCCCTAAAAGTCTTAAATCCTTCCTCTTCAAATTGCTCAACAGCTTTCTAACATCTTCCAGGCCAGTGACAAGCCACTTTTTGTTTGTTTTAATTGGCACTTTAAAAATGTGTATTATTGTTATTATTAAAAGATGTACCTCAACTCCTTTCAAATTGATGAACTTGTCGTAGCATTCATGTAGATCTAAGTATTTGCCGTAGCCTTCCTCGTCCGTAAACTCTACCAGCAACAGATTCTCATCCACTGGGTTTGTACGCTCTTCATCCAACAGTTCAAATTCAACTGACATTGGAACAGAGATCTACAGCAAACAAAAAAAAAAAAGCAGTGATGTAACACTAAAAAAGTTCTCACTGACTAAAGATAGAGTTATTTTAGAGAGCTAAATCCTGACAATTGCTTGATATTAAAATATCAAATTATTTCAACCAACTTACCTCATTTGGATGCTTTTTGTGAAAATCCTTGAGGACTTTGAGTCGAGAATAAAATTCTTGAAATTCATTTGGTCCTGACAATGCCTGGACTTCCTCTTTTCGCAGACTATGAAAAAAAGATAAATATAACAATAAAAAAATGCCATAATATGAAATAAAAATCAGAACATCAAGAAAGAGAGAGAAAAACCACAAAATAAACTGAATTGTCTATTAACATTTAAAAATAAAATAATAAGAAATCTTAAAGCCATTCAAATATAAAGAATATATAAATGGGACATCGAGTATAAAGGCTTAAAACCATTTAATATAGAAAGAGAATTTAACCAAATTACTGTAAAAACCATTACATTTTATATCACAATAGGTTATGTAAGGCAAATAATGATAAAGCATTGACAGACAGTGACACTGTAATTAATTTTAATGAAAATAGACGTGTATGGTTAATTACTTTAAAAATGTTAAAGGGGTTGTAGCTGTAGAAAACTAAGGGTGGGTGATAGATATTTTAAGGGTAGGTGGGTGATAACATTGATAAACTCTACATACAGTAAGAGTAAATTTTAAGGATGGCAAAGTGGGGTTAATAAGGGTGGGTGGAGGGCCATGAAGTTAGCTTTAGACTGGGTGGAAAACTTCAACAAGGCTGGGTGGCCCCACCCATCTCTGCCCCACCATAACTACATCCCTGATGTTATCTACAGTTACCACTCGGCTTAAAGCCTTGTCCTGACTACCAAGTTTCATTTGACAAACACATGCGAGTGACATGCCTAAATATGGTCATGATGACATCACATCATGGCCATATATAGGCATATCATGACTATATATGGGCATACAACAAGAAAATTTGACAGTCTGGACAGAGCTTTAACGGTGACAATCAATATGACAATCATACTCACCCATCCTTATCTTCATACAACTCTTTCAATTTGTAGGAACTATCCATATGACGCTGTAGGAGGTAATTAATCAACGATGATCATTTTCATAATTAATATTATTATTTGCCATGCAAACCTTCAAACAAAATTTAAAATACTTCTGGTAACCTAATATTAATAAACATATTAATTTATAATATGTTTTATTTCCTGATTACCTGGGTGTTAAATAAATCACAGCTATCAAAAAGGAGTTCTACTAAATTTACTATAAGTACTATGAAAACTTTTTTTTACACATTTTGTTTCTGTTTCCATTGGCTTGTTTTGGCATGGTAAAAATAAACATTATATGTTTAAAAAATAAATAAATAACATTTTTGGACTCATGGGAGAAACTATCATACAATCAAATGCAATGACTTTGATTTTGTATACTGATGCAAACTGGCTTTAATAAAACATCTATTTCATGTATTTGGTGTCTTGAAATTAATTTTTCAGTACTGTTTAATTTAATTGTTTTATCGAATCATGATTTTATTTGATTGCAGTCCAATAAAGTTGAATTTTGAATTTCTCTTATTACTTTTTAAAGTAAGGGTGTAATAATCTACACATCTTGTATGGGTCCGGAAACAAAATTGTAAATACAGTAACCTAGGCCTACATTAACTTTAAGAATTTAATTTTAATTGATACTCACATCACGAAGAATTTTGACACTTTGATCAGAGTTGATCTGTTCTCTCGTCTGAAATACAAGGGAAAATTATAATTTTATCCATTATATAACAAAACTATACACTTAGATACTGCCAAAAAATTATGAAAAGAAAACTCCAAGGCCAATCAATATAAACAAGCTCTTAGGTCAAATGCCCTAGGCCTTGCTAGGGCCAGTGAGATACAGGATGTGGTCACCCACTGCCAGGTGGTAATTGAAATTCTAGGGGCAAGTTTGATTTGTGAGTGAGGCCTAGCGTATAGCCTAGCCTTTAGCAACAAAGAAAAGGGTACCAAAGTTAAGCCTAGACCTACATACTTACCGTGTTCTTTTTATGAAGCATTTCTTTCGTCATCGCATTCACAATCCGCTCTTTTTCCTCATGAAGCCTCCTTTGCTGCTCTAATAAAGTTTCCATAATTTCATATAAATTCTCGCATGTACTTACACTCACAACGCTGCCGCTCTTCGGGATCGTTTCCTTCGTTCGTCGTCGATACAGTGAAGGGGTTGCCAGAAGTTAGCTTGGTAATTGCCCAATTGCTAATCTCTGATCAACTTTTGCTTTTAGTACAAAATACAGGATAACAATTATATAATATTATAAATAAATTAACTAGTGTGAACATTAAAGAGATTGCTAACAATTTTCGATCTTAAAATCAATTTTCTTGTCCATTATCCTGTTATTTTTTTAATCTACAGTACTTAGATTAAATTATTTGAGAATTAGCATTTTCAGACAGACGTGTCTCTCACCACTTGTATATTTAACTGCTTTAGTTACGCAAGTTATATTTCTTCTTTTCAGATTCGTTAGGCCTACTCACAGAGCTTAATCCTTCTCATCCCAGTTCTTGAATCAGTACTTGTCTGTTAGTTTCTGTTATAAATTCTAACCTCCTTGCATGTCCTCCCCGATGTCCTCTCTTTATACATCTATAGCATTGTAGCTTAAGCTGTTATAACGATGTACTAC